CTTTTATACAAGATTTCAGTGTCACATCTTGTATTTCAGGTTCTAGTATGCAAGGCTGAATTGAACCCTGACTCCCTTGAACAGGCAGTAATATTTTAATTCAGTTTCATAAAAGAAAATAGCTGTTCATAAGCATAAGTACTTCCAAACTGGAGTAGAATGTTGGTGTAATAAATTTGTGTGTTGAGGGTAACTATTCCTGAGATGTTTGTAGAAATCTGTGATGCCACATCACTCGTTTTGTTTGTTGTCATATTACACTACCGCTCAGTAATTTCCATTTTGTAGTTCTTTGCTTACACTGTCAATATTAATTGAGAAAAGTAAACTAAACAGATCCTTTTTATGAAGTTTGAGATCACATATTCTATGTGTCTGTAGGTGGGACGGGTGGTGGTTACCTTCAGTTCCACAAATGTAGAAATATTCAAGTCATCAGTCTTTGATTTCTGCATACTGATTTGCACATAGGAAAGTGGGCCAGAGAATTTCTTACCCAACAGGTTTCCTAAATATGTAATTTCAGTAGGAATGAGTGAATCCAGTTATGTATTTGTGTAAGTATTTAAGAATGCCCTTGCAGAGAAATGTTCAAAACAATACGATGACTTATGATATCATCCAGTGTTAGCTGGTGAACCAAGTTGAGGATTTTCCTCAGACTCTATGTCAAAAAGCTCGCCAGGGCACCACACCTCCGAACCTCTGACCTCCCCATCGCGTTGTCTAGCCAACTCTCGACTCTCGTGGTACGTATCCAGTTCATCTGGCAGAGCGTTGAACTGTGTGCTTGTCTCAGGCTGGGTTCTCTAGAGAAGCAAAGCTAGTGAAGCATAAATATATATATAGAGAGAGAGAGAGAGATTGTGGAAGCTGGCAAGTCCCAAAGTCTGTGGGTCACGTGTGAGCTGGGGTCTTCTCCTGACTCGTGGTTTCAGGGGCTGACAAACCCAGAATCTGCAGGTCAGATGGCAGGTTGCTAGCTCAGAGGGCTGTGGAAGCTCCTGAGTCCCAGAGTTGGCAGATCAAGTGACATGCTGCTGTGTCTCAGGGCTGTGGAGCTGATGAATCCTGAACTCAGCAGCTCAGACAATGAAATGCTAGCTCAAGTCACAAAAAATGGAGGTCAGATGATGATGAGCCGGAAACAGGATCCAGAGCAATCAAGCGAGCTTTTCCAGAACATCCATATATATATTGAGTGCAGGCCACACCCCCAGGGAAATTCCCCTTACAACTGATTGGCTGATCCCATCAGTTCACATCATGGAGGTGATTACGTTCTATCACAACATGGAAGATAATTACACCAGATCACAAAATGGAGGATAATTACCTAATGCTGAGCATCATGGCCTAGCCAGGTTGACATATAACAGTAATTATCACAGTGCTGTCAGCTCAGGGGAGCAGATCTGTTTCATAGTGTTCATCGCTGTCTGCATGATCGTTCCCTTTGTTACCTTTTTGCAAAATCCTCGTTCCTGGAGAATGATAGTATAAGCTGAATGATAGGATGAATGGGCCTCAGCTTCACGGAGTTGCAAAATGTTGTATTTCTGCTGAATGAGAAGTGTGACATTAAGTGTGGCCGTTCAAGTTCACGTTGATTGATTTTGCCCAGCCTACTTTTCCCATTAAACTTTTCACGACACACAAGATATGAATCATTTCCTAATATTGTGCTATATCTGTAAATTTTTCAATCCCATCAAAATGCTCAGCTCCATGAATAAATATAGCTAGCTGGGTTGTATTATTTATATGTGTTTTAGTCAGCTGCCATTGGAAACACCATAAATAACTTATCTTTTTCATGCAACTTAAGTTCTCAGACACATCTTTACTACACTGAGCAACATCAGTGTTTGCAGTTAGATACAAATTTGTCAATGCTGCTTTCTTTTTAAACACATTTTCTGCCATACTGAGTAAATACTTACAAACTCACCATCTCTAACTGCTTGGGCAGTTTGAACACTTAATAATAACTGCATTTCACAAAAGCACTTGTTTTATTTATGTTTGCAAATGCTCTCCATTTAAAATATCCCTCCTTTTCTAATTCACTGAAGTTTCATTTCTTGTTTTTGTGTTTTTGTATCTTCCATGTTTTCTAAATATTGGCCATGGTTATTAATATAGTGTGGTTAGTAGTAGCATCCTAAGCTGTGGTCTTCTAATGCAGGCACGTTTTGTTTGTTAAACATGTAGGAGTATGCATCACCACTGCAGAGAAAGGTGCTTTCTTGAAACTCGTCTTTACTTTTCATGTTCCCACTTTTGATAGAGATGTGAATTGAAAAAATTTCACTTTCCTCTAAAGGCTGCTTAAAGGAAAGTAAAACCGCTCAGTCTGCAGTGCTGGGAATCATAGAGAGTGGTGAAGACCCTGGCAGTCGAGACAGAGAACACTGCATTGAAAAGGCACAGCTACAGTCCGCTTCCAGGCAGAAATTGGTTTCTAGATGAAATCACCCCGTTTTTAAATGCTGGCAACTAATACAGGAAAAACAAACAGTTTAGACTTTGTGAGCCCAGTGAATCACAGTGGACTGTGTGGACTGTGGGCCACTGGTTTGCTTTTCTCCTCTGAAGCTTGGCAGTCAGCCTCTCCTCTGTCTCCTGCCCCCCGCAAACGCCCCAGGCAGCTCAGCAGCCATTCCAAGGGTAACCTTTAGACTAATCCTAATGTTGTAGCTGTTTCTATATTCTTACTGGTAGAAGCTGAGACTATATCTGTATCACCTGTTTTTGCCCAACTTTCTGTTTAATGAGATCCTGGCTTCATCACTAGAAGAAATTGTAGTGAATAAATTAAAAAAAAAAAACAAAACAGTTGCCTTTGAGTTGATTCTGACTCATGGTGACCCCATGTGTGAGTAGAACTGTGGTCTGATTTTTTTTGCAAGCAGACCACCAGGCGTTTCTTCCAAGGCACCTCTGGTTGGCTCAAACCGCCAGCCTTTCATTTAGCAGCTGAGCCCATTAATCATTTGCTCCACCCAGGGACTCCAGTGCGTATGTAGATAGATGGACCTGATTAATCAGGCAGTCTTCAACAGGACACGTGTGTTTTGGTACAGAACTCTGCTGACCTAGCTTTGCCCTAAACCATGCTAATAGACCACTGTATTCCCTTGTGGTTTTAGGCACACATGGAAGAACTCAGGCCCAGCATCAACGGAGTAGATCTGGGCCCCTGAGAGGTGTTGGACTTGTACTAATTACAACCTTTCATTTATTTATGTAGTACCTTCCAAGTATATATGCATTTCCTCATTTGATCCTTACTACTTCCCTTTAAAAGTAATTGTTACCCCTACCCAACAAATAAGAATACTGATATGTAAGAGTTAACCAATTTTCAAAGCACCAGAAATGTAATTGAAAAAGTCAAAGCCACATTCCTGGCTTCTGACTCCTTACTCCGTGGATTTTTCCCTGTGACTGGAAGTAGGGTACATCTGTGAATGAGAGAGCATCTCCAGAACATAAACACTACCTAGACAAAGTCTGTCTTCATGCTGTTTTAATTACTTTTATTTTTATTAAAATCCATTCACCATAAACTATTCTTCAAAAGTATTTTAAGTTTTCCACTACTGCATGAAACCCAAAGGGATCTGCATAAATGGAAAAACATACCATGCTCATGGATAGGTAGATGCAACATTGTGAAAATGACAGTTCTACCCAAAGCAATTTACAAATACAACACAATCCCGATCCGAATACCAACAACATTCTTCAAAAAGATGGAAAAACTAATCATTCACTTTATATGGAAAGGGAAGAAGTCCCGAATAAGTAAAGCACTACTGAAGAAGAAGAATAAAGTTGGAGGACTCACACTACCTGACTTCAGAACCTACTATACAGCTACAGTAGTCAAAACAGC